GTGGAAATACAATGTATCGCAAGAAGAGAATACTAAGGTAAATACTGCTTTACGTAAGAATGAAAACATTTGCTCTTATTATTTCTGATACGGAATGGATTTGTACACAATCATACGACTCGCTTTTAAGTCCCTTCTGAAGCCATGGCTAGACGACAACGCTTTGGTGCCGCAAAGGACGGGTTGGAGGGTGACAGTAAGAAGGAGCATGAAGTGACCACTTCGACTTGCAACGTCTTGCCGCGATGTTTGATAAAAGATAGTCTCATCATGTGTCGACGATGCCCATCACAGCACCCACAACCTGGCCCTTCAGGCAGGCCTTCAGAAGGTCATGCTCAAGTCGAGCGTCGTGGTTCTCTCGGTCGCCTTCGTCGCGCTGCTCGGCGTCGCCTGCGTCATCATTGCCAACAGAAGTACGTGCATTGTGCTACGCATATTAAGGCCGTGACGACTGAAAATTAACAGATATTGGAGATATGGAAAGCATCCGAAGCAGTAGCTAACCCTATATGTTTTCCTTTGAATTACACTATGTTGAAATCACTTGGCTGCCTCTAGCAGCAAATCAAGTCCCCCAAACGAGTGTCCTCGTTCAGTTATGAGTGAACGTAAAACAATCGCGCTAGTGTAAGTATAGCTTTCAAGTTTGTTACTGGACGAAAAAAGGCCAGGCCTACGTGGAAGGCGCAGCACAGTCTCAGCGAAAGCACGAAGAGCCTTTTCTAAACACTATTTGGATAAATGCTTCAAGCACACAACTCACATTCACATTACGTTCCCTATTATAAAAAAATTGTGTAGGCAATGCATGTTACAGCTAGCGAACAGTGATCCATTACGACGATATACTGACTACTTTATAGCAGCTATTGACACCTGCATTAAGAAATGATCAGCACATCTCTTTACGGGAAGCACGGTTAGCACATATATTAGAAACCTTACATATTCAGAGTATACAGCAGCAGGAAACATAGCAATTGCATTTGCCGTCACGTACAGGAATATTTAGAAATTATGTAGTAAAAAATCAAATTCCCGCAGTTTTAACGCCCATGGTGCATGTTCTGCCCCACGAAATGCATACGTTCACATGCGAAGCTTCGTCAACCCGCAGCTTCATTGAGGTTTAGAATTTACTTGAATTTCTTTTCTTTTTTTTTTCTTTATTCTTCTGCACACAGCATCCAGCTTGAGCAAGTTCATGCAAAAGAACGCGACAATGCCGGGTAAGAGAATTAACACCTCACTGGCACGCAGATAATATATATATATATATTATATATATATATATATATATATATATATATATATATATATATATATATATATATATTGGTTTGCCTTCACACCTTCTTATTGAGTTTTCCTTTGAATACAGCAAGAAATATACTTCCATGATGACAAATTCGAAGCCACGCTTGAAATTCAGAATTTAAAAAGCCCGCGCTTCCATACCACGTGCCTGGTTCTATGCGCATGCGTGTTCCCTTCGCGATTTTCCGTGCGAGGTTCCAGCTTACGTAGAAATATATATACAAAGCTCAGGGCACAATTTTTGTGGCTTGAGGCGTAGCTCTACGTTACCGATCATTCGTCATATATCGACGCATATCTCATCGCAACATTCCTTTCGCAATTTAGAAGTGTGGCGTATATCTGTGGTGTGGCAGCTTGGGCTATTTGGGTATGACATGACGATAGTTATAGCGCGAGAACAGAACAACGACAAAGAGACAAGAAGGACACGAGCGCTCGTGTCCTTCGTGTCCTTCTTGTCTCTTTGTCGTCGTTCTGTTCTCGCGTTATAACTATCGTCCTTTCGCAAGTTCTAAACCCATCGAAATGCGCGGTCCATCGGCTATGGGTCTTCGGTTGCGCTCACAGTTGAGCTACTGCAGTTTGTGTTAAATGAATAGTTTCATCAATCGCACACAGTGTTTGAGCTCCCATTCGCTGCTTAGTCGAGATGTGCTTTGGATAATTGAGGATCCATGCATTTCAACCGAGGCCAACTAGAGATACTGTAGATGCTACATGAAAATGCTCGAAATATCCGCGAAGACTTGAGTTCTGTTTTGCAAATTACTCGCAATGTAAATGAGCGCATACGTGATAGCTGTGCTTGCGCTTGTATCCTCGCAGTGCACCCAACGTCAGCACATCCGGCAAGGGTGGTGGGAGCCGGCATGACGCAGCGGGCAACGGACGCGATTGAAACCATCGCCGAACCATCTCAAGGCGTGCCAATAGGTATTACGGCTTATATATTGTGTTAAAGACGACCGCAAATATGTCCGCGTGGCCTAATGGATAAGGCGTCTGACTTCGGATCAGAAGATTGCAGGTTCGAGTCCTGTCGCGGACGTAATTTTTTTTTCTTTTTTTTGTTACAATTGTTTTTTTTTTGTTTTTTTTTTTTCAGCGGTTGTTAACAAGCCGCATGCACAGAAGTTTCACGGAGTGCTCGGAGCTGCGTATTTCAACAACAGCATCTTGCCTCGGGGTACGTGAGACATACAGCTTCCTGCTTGAACTGCCCGCTTACGAACTCAAATTACATCCCCTAGCGCGTTATGGCCGAAAGACTGGCCCACTTTTCATATGTGTCCTTATACTTGTGCTTTGCTTGCGACCTTACAACAAACGATAGTAGTGGTGGTCGGCGCAGGTGTCAAAGCTCACTGACTCAAACCAACATCAAAAATTATTGAGCAGGCTTGTGGCGCCATCTGTAGTAAAACTTTAAAACTACACAAAAAGCGCGCTTTTTAAACTTTGTTAAAGACTGTGCCTTTTTATCTTCGTCGTTTTCTTACAAATATAAACAAAACGATTGATATTTATCAGTGAGATTTCCGCACCTTAGTAGAAAAGTTGACATTGTTCTGATCAAACCAACGCCATGCGATTTTGTGAACAAAACTCACTCACTTGTAAACAAGACCGAACAAGTCATCTTCACGTGAACGTGACCTAATGCCATAAACAACCGCCAAGGTAAAAGAGAATAATGCATTCTACAATGAGGTGCAATTAGTGTGTTGTTGTGAAATGATTTTAAGTTTGTTATTTCTCCGAAGAATTCGTCCCCAGATCAGATAACTCTCGCGGTTAAAAGCAGTTCAAATCGTTTCCCATCTCGGTTTACCATCTCAGTGCCAAACCGGTTCTAGCTGCATTGATAGTAATTTGCGGAAAGGTTACCTGCATCGCAGTTATTATTTCACGGTCAATGAGAACAGTTGTAGGACATGTCACGCCATCTATCATTGATTGTTTGAATTTCCTACAAGCTGTGCGTTTTTTGTTTTGTTTTTTAAATCGTGTTCCGTGTTCTGTCGCTATGATACACGTTCTTCTATTGTCCAAGCTATCCGCAACACTGTAAAACTGTGTTTGTCTGAGGCGTTGTAAATAACCACCTTTGTTTAAGGAGTTAACACCTCGCTGTATCGTCTGCCTTTTCTAATTCCCGTGCTCCCCTGGCGCACTGCAGGATTCAGCAGGGACTATGTCTGCACTACGGACAGCTGCATCAAGGAGGGTAAAGTGCTTCTCATCTGTATCGTGTTGCGTGAAAAGCTAACGTCGTTATCGTTTAAAAATTGCAGGTTTTTTTATTAGATGAAGTTAGGTGAATGGCATACAGGCAAGAACAGAAAGCAAACTGGTGTGGTTCACGTAGTACGCTAACGTCTTATTTAAGTACTGAAACCGTGTTCCTCGAGTCGTGCAGCATTTTCATTCTTTGAAAACGAATCACCAGTGACGTTGCCAAGGCTTTACTCCAGAAAGACTGAAGACACTCCCTATAGGCGCGTGCGTGTGTGTGGATATTTCACACAGTTATAACTGCGCAGCCTTTGATCATATGGGATCACTTCCCATCGAATAACTGAAGGCATAGTTTCCGGTTGTATGAGACAAAAAGTACCTCAGCAAAAATGTAGGCGAAGTTGGTTGCCAGGTTAAAAATTTAACTTCAAGATCTTTTTTACACCCACTGACGTGAACTGCCGTTGTTGTGTTCGTTGACAATGTTGACTAGTTTGTAGATTTATACATGTACTGCTGCCAGCTTCCCATCTAGAACAGGAATTGTTTAACGTTTCTTAAGAAAATAATTCAGTCAAGGAGTCCGATTATTACCGCAAACGAACTGTGCTGAAACAACGGACGCACACAAAACGACGTCGGCAATGTTATAAAGTTTATATAACTTCCAACACTTTAATTTATTAACAAAAATTACGTACGATATGAAGACGCCCCAACTGAACTTAGGCGCACGACGTGTAACGTTCAGTTTGGTTTCGCCTGTTCATAACTGTAAGTGGTTTTCATCGACTACTCAAAATGACTAGATTAACAAAAAACTCGTATTTCAAATCTTTACACTTCTCCTGAACGAGTCCGCCGCGCTGCTGAACCGAAGCTCGCGGATTTGATTCCGGCCGCGGCGGTCGTATTTCGCTGGAGGTGCATTGGTAGAGGCTCGTGTGCTGTGCTATGTGGGTGCACATTAAAGAACGCCGAACGATTGAAAATTTTTAAAACACTTTACTACAGCGTCTCCTATATTTATTATCTGGTTTCTGGACGGATAGTATCAGTGCATACAAATTTCCTATACATTAGACATCAACTACGTAGCGACGTCTTTATTTTTTTCTTACTCCGTTCTGCAAAACACATTACCCGTATTTCTTTCGATGGTGTTTCGAATTAGAGCGATCACATGAAGTGTTATTGTAATTTTTGGCCTCCTCTTGTATATCCTTATCTTGTACATTGTGTAGTGAATGAATAAAGTTGATTGATTGATTGATTGATTGATTGATTGATTGATTGATTGATTGATTGATTGATTGATTGATTGATTGATTGATTGATTGATTGAAGATTAAGAATAACCTAGCCTTCCCATGTTCGTGCTCGTCGAGATATCAAATTGCGCTGCTTGACGTGATTGCTCTGTCCCTTTTGCGACGTCAATGCACGCAGGGGAGCGGCTGGCGGGTCTGGTGGACCCGGTGCTCAGCCCGTGCGACAACTTCTACGAGTACGCGTGCGCCACCTGGGCAGAAGAGCACCCCGTGCCTCGGGGTGCCCAGAAGGTCTCATACCAGTCGACCATCATCAACTACGTCGAGAAGAAACTGGACGACATCGTGCGAGGTATATACGCAGACGATCACGAGACGTCGTATATAGTATATACTTTACTGACCGCCGATTCGTGTGCGCTCAGATTCGCATTGGGGTTTTTCAATAGCTTAACCGCTCGAAACTCGAAGACGAGGCGGTGGCTTCTTTCTCGCTCTCACTACCTTTCCTACGGACGCTATCTGCTCATCTACGCTCATTTGTTCGCAAAACATGCGGAAAGTATTTGCATAATTAAAGCATTGAGCATATTAAGTTTTCGTGCTTCTCGGCCGCATGCTGTCATCTCCGTTCGAGCACGTCGAAAACGCGCGAAGAGAATTGAAATAAGTTGCTCGCCCGCGATATAGTCGTGCGAGACGATGCATGACGGGAGTGCAAACACGTGGCAAAGCGGCGTAAGAGACAAACCACAACTGCATGCTATCCCAAGTATATGAACCACTCGAGAGCTTATTTCCTCGTGGCGTATCGTGAACAGACTGCATGCTGGCGTCGTGAACTTTGCCGGAAAAGGCGGGAAAACGCCAGATGAAAATGACGAGCACTCTTGTGCACTTTCAGAGGCTTTTCGGGCACTTAGGAGCTATCAAATGACAATTTGACCAAGCCTTCCGGTACTGTCTGGAGTGTCTCATTTACAGTGGGTTCGGCTGCATGCGGTGGACCGAATACGCAGGCATGGAGGGCCTAGAACTACAGAATGCAGGCAGCTGATCTTATGCATCGGCATATCCATGCTGTAACAACGGGTAGCCAACATTAGCGAATACTAGCCGGTATTTAGTTCACGTGAGCTAGCGATAACCACTGCATACTATACTACGGTGGTTCAGCTATCAGAATTACTCATTGTAACCTGTTAGAGGGTGCGAGTAGATGAGCACACACGAGACGATGTCTTCAAGAAGGCCCGTGTTTTCTATGTATTGAGCATAGGTCGAAGAAACTGCGCATATATTTCGGGATCCAAATGAACGCAGCCCTGAAAAAAAAAGTAGTTACCTGGGTAATTTCCAATTTTTGTTAAAAAGTGAGTGTCTACGTTGAAGGAGAAACTGGGGGCTTCGAAGTCTACAGGGGTTGTTTTGTGAAGCCTCTGGACTGCCGCTACATATGAGGCAATCGATATCTATGTGTTAACAAAGGCGATTAAGCGACATTCCTGTTATAATTGATCACCTATACTCGACACGTCCGAACCACATTAAAAATTCTTTGCCTGTTTAGAAATAAATAAGCGTATATACACATCTTGATGCTGTTATCTTGTTCATCCATCCTCCATTACGTTCGAGGAATACTTGGACGGGTGTCTTGTCAGCGGTTTATTGCAGCTGAAGACGCTTACCCCCATATTCTAGAACGTCCCTTCACTCAACGCTTCACCTTCACTTGAGAAAGCCGATGGGAGTGCCGTCTCTAGGCACGTCAAATCACTGCATATCAGCGATGATCACCTACTATTCTTGTGTAGCGCAGCGTCATTTTCAGCCAACAGTGGCGCAGTGCTCAACTTTGTCAAGTGTATAGGCGAAGGTCGAGTCGAGGAGCGTTTCTGAATACGGAGGTTAATGTTTGTTCGCGCTGGTGGTGAACGCTTCAGAACATTTGTTTTTTTTTTCTTTGTCGCAGCCGAGCTTCGGAAGGTGGTGTCCATGCCAATGGCCTTCAATTTCCTGTCAAGCCACGTGAAAGCCATTCTCATGAGAAATGCCTGCATGGAAGTGGGTAAGCACTTGCACGTTCCGAGCGGCACATGGCATCACCACCGCAATGCATATATGCGCCACTTGCACGAGAGATAACGGACCAGAAGCATTATCGAATTACGTCCTGTGGTCGGATTCGCGGTCTTGTGAGCTCTGGATAGGACGTGTGGACGCGCTTATTGGCCGACTATATTTCGCAATTTCAGGAGGCGTAAAAAAGATCTCGGAATTCAACAATCCCCCAGAGTAGTGCCCCATGAACCTACGAGGAACAGTGCTCGAGCAGCCAGCTGCGCTATCTCACTGGGGGATGGCGTTTTGATACTTTTGGACGTTAAGGTCACGGGTTTTATTTTCTAATGCGGCAGCCGTTCTTAGTCGCACCTACATTCGAGTACGTGTTAGTTAAAATAGCATAGATTTTAGAATAAAATAAAAAATGGCAGCATATCCAAATGATGGAGAGTGGGGCGAAGCGTCCGTCCGTCCATTCGTTCTTGCTTCCGTCCGTCCCTGCGTTCATCCATGCATCCGCTCCTGCGTCCGTCCGTGCAGCCACCCGTGCGTCCGTCCATGCATCTGTCTGTGTGTCCGTTCGTCCACCTATTCAACACTCCAAGTACCGCCATCTCACATCTTTTCATTATATATTCCTCATACAGAAGCACCGCCATCCAGCGGACATTCAAAGGACTTAACGAGAGGAGGCACACGCACACTTTCTTACGGCTTGCGCTTCGTGTCTACTTCCCACATTTAACCACCTCGAGTTCATGGCATATACTAGTTTATTGTATTCATGGCCCTGCGGCTCAACGCTCGCTAAACCTTTCTAAAACCAAGAAAGTTACGCCCAGCGAGTATAACGTAGCAACCCTTTCTTGTCAGATAGTGCTCAATGTACATGGCAATGGCTGCTAAGGAAGAATGAGGGACAGGAGAATTCGTCTTTTAGTTAACGCGCACAATGCGAATTTTTTATTGTTCAACAACGCACAGAAATCTCCCACCGGCACCACCTTGAACGTCAAAATGTAAGACTGGTTACACACTACTACTACGACTACGAGGGACGAACGGTTGCCGCTATAAGAAGCTTCGCCCCTAAAATGCGCAAACCTTTGACACCTTTTTTTTTTCACTTTTTACTCGTACTGTTATGCATAAAGTTATGCAAATTCGTTTACTTTTGCTTAATGTAATAGCTGGATAAGCCATAAAGTTGAAGTTCCGTGCTACATTCTCGTTTGCCTTCAGCTCGAAAAATCTTCCGGCATTTCAAAATCAGGATCAACTCTGGACTGAGCTGCAGTACGGAACTTGCCATGTGTGTAATGTTCCATGTCGCAACGTACGTACATACCGGATATCGCTTACGCAGATCGGCTGAACGACCGCGGCCTGGGACCCCTGCGGGAGGTGCTTCAGACGCTGCACCTGACCGAGTGGCCCACGGTCAAGATCGACTTCAACGACTCGCTCATCGAGCGCGTGGCCGGCGCCCTGGGCTCGCGGCTCGGCGTGTTCCCGCTCGCTAGGGTCGACGTCGATCGAGACCCCGACAACCCGTCCAAGTTCATCATCACGGTGCGCGTTTTATTGTCAGACACTAAAGATTCCGCTTGTACATGCGCTGATTAAGAGCAGTGATACAGGCGATCGACAACTGTTAACGTAGCAGAACACATTTAAAGCTTACTGCGTCATCCTGCGACAATCGCAACGTGCTGCTGGCGATTCAGATATATGAATAGTAAAAGACATGTATACTGAATGATTTGCGGTTCTTTCTGTGACTGCGGGGTCACTTGTCCTCTACACAATATAATCGCTTAGGTACTGCATTAGCAGTAATCAGATAGCGACATCCCGCCCACTACACGCCAGGCAGTACATAAGCCTTCTAAATGTGAGGAAGCCTCTGTGATACAGAGTCGTGGTGTGAAACCGAAATGCTATAAACAATATCTCAATGAGCATGCGCTCTGTGTAAGGCGCGCGTTAAGGAAAACAACGAATGTGCATTCCGTGAGAGCAACACGGTTGTTTGTTTGTTTGTTTTTTGTATGGTGCGATTTCCCGTGAAAGCTGATTTTTCGTGTCATCATTACATCGAGCGATATCGGCTACCTCGGAAGAGTTGCCTCGGAAGCAGCAGTGCACTTACTGCACACTTCCAGTTCATCTCAGCCTCGTTGCTCTTTGGCGGCGTACACACTATACTCACGGATTGAACTAAGACAGTCGCTGATAAGAGCCCCACTGTAGCATCGATGATGCTTGGGCCACGCACTGCTCTGCTCGCGGGTTTTTTTTTTTGTTTGTTTCTTTTTGTAGCTGGTAGTGCGAATGAAATGTGCACGTCAACGTCCTTCACAGTGTGCTCGTCGTGCTGTCGCCATGGCATTCTTTGTGCGCCAAATGGAAGGTTCGCATACGCAACGTTGTAGCGCTGCCAACGCTACTCGCCTCGCTTGTGCAGCTGGACGAGCCGTCGCGAGAGGTGGTCCGGCGCGGCTATCTCCTGCACTCTGAGCGCGACCTGATGGAATACGAGACGGTGACGCGCAAAGCCTTCGACAAGCTACAGAACCCGGCGCTCAGCGACCTGCTTGGTTCGGCCGTGCTTGGCCTGGAGGACGAGATATCGCAGGTGCGCTTACTTGACATAGGTTCAATACTGAATCAATAATGATACGCTAACAAGAGCGAGCGCTCTCTGACACTCTAGTAATTCTGCGGTCAGCGATGGCTGCATCTTGCTGCCTTCATGAGGCATACTAGGGTTTACTGATCAGATCCTTGCTCCTATATAATTTATTTGAGCGGCCCTTAAATAAGGTAAATTCGTTCACAAGATAGCTTAAGACCACTCGCAAACTCGTTAACAAAAGTTTGACTGAGGGCCGGACAAACGCGGTCACCACGCTGCTCAAAACAAAAGACATTCGCAGAAATGAATAGGCGGGATTTTCGGGGGTCATCGTTTTCTTGAATTCGCCGTTCGCATGTTTCACTTCCCTAAAACGTAAACTCTCAATCTTCTCAGCCGTAAGGCGTCAGTAGTTAAGTGACTTAATTGTAACATCGCAGCCATATTGAAGGCCAGTGCGAAGTGACCCCTCTTGCCCGTGATAGGCCACCACAGTTACCAAAGATTGTAACGAGTAATACCTCTCGAACGTTTGCAGGCAATGGGACCAATAATGCAGCAGGAGGAGAAGGTGCGGCAATATGTCAAAGTATCTGTCGCAGACCTCCCCAGCTGCAGCAAGGTACGTTTGGCTTATATTATTTTTTCAGTAGTTGATTGGGAGCCACAGCTGCCACCTTAGTTACAGAAGCGTCACTAATATAAAGCTCGTGTTTACAGCGGAGCTACATGTGGCACACCTCCTTGATTTCGTCGTGTCGCTGTCCGCGTGCAAAAACTTGGCGCCCTCTAGGGAGCAGTGTAAGAACTGACCTTAATGAATCAGTTCCAACTGAGCAAACTCCTAATGCCCCCTATAGGGATTGGCGGAATAACTAATTCAATCAAGTGCGCCTCTCACCCCGCCAACCTGTTCTAGGCGCTGCGCTCGCACTGTGAAATTGACCGATGAACAACGCGCGCTTTAGAAGAATGGTGGTGAGACCATTCAGAGACTGGAGTGCGATCGTCAGCTCTGCTTGTCATCCCCATTTGCGGAATGGAATGGTCTCGAGTTTTGTTGCACACCGTTTGAATTTCATCGTTGTCTCGCATGAGCAGTTTGAATATTTAACTCGCGTGCACAAGTAAACGTGACGCCAGTTCCGAAGACATTGGCTGACGGCATATAATACGCGCCTAGTGCGGGAAAATATTTTAGTATCAGGCAAGCCCTCTCGCCAGATCCTCAATATAAGACGCGTGATAAAAGCTGCTGTGCCTATAGGTTGCTCAACAGCGCGCGTTTGTTGTGAGCTGACGCACGCGCACTTCATCTACCGCAGTTACACTGGCTGCACTTCCTGAACAACACCATGGAGAAAGTGCGACCCGTGCACCGCAGCCAAGTGATCGTCGTGCGCAACATGCCTTTCATCAAGAAACTGGCCGGAATCCTCGAAGGGCGTCAAAGGTAAAGTCTCTACGTCACCCATTATAGACGTCTTCGTCGTCTTCTTTCACCCTCCGATTGCCATGAGCTATAGAACATGCGCACTGATTAATCATACTGTGGTCAGGAAGGAATTACAAAGGAAGCTCACAAATAGAAGAAAGTGATGCTGATTTCGATGTTTTATCCTTCGATGCCCATATTCTTGTCGGGAAGCACAGAGATCCCTAGCTCTGTGCAACTTCATTGCGTATGCGGATTTTCCTCCCATTGCTTAATTTTTGTGCAACATGTGGTCTTCTGCAAAACAAATTGACTAACAACGTACGGCATCCGATATCTATGATTTCACTGCCGGATCATGAAGGACACGCACGCTCAACTACAAGCTAAACTAATCGAACTGCACGAGAGTTAGAACGTGAGCCATTTGGTATCCAGTCATCTTTGTTTGACAAAGTGGGCATGGGTTGAGGGTGAAAAGTTATAGCACAGGACACACGCCGACTCGGAGCTCTAGTTTATCCGTAAATACAAACATATTTACATATATATAAGGATATAAAGTGGCGCGTATTATAAATAAAAAGCCCCTATCTTGAAAATAACAGATAAACTCTGATGCCATATTTTGCAATTGCTGCTTAAGTGCATATATTCTGCGTCACTGAGTGAAACTGGAGGCATTCGAAAAAGCCCTCAGTGAATTATCTTCCTATTTAATATTTATAGCGTAGCAGTGTCATCCTGTCGTGAAAGAACTGTGCCCAGGCGCATTACAGTTAATGAATGCGAAAGGGAACGGCTTAGTATCGGACAATGTATACATTCGTGTTCCCTATATATGACGAACGTTTACGCAACTTCCGCTCTGGCCTACGTGAGCTTTGCCGCATGATAATGCTACCTGATACACAATGACATCTTTGCAACCTATATATTCTAAAGGGGTGTTTATCCCGCATTCAACAGGAACACTTTAAATGCATTTTGTTTGCTTGTCAAAGCTTTTCTGAGCTTTTGCGCACATTGACGCAAGCTTATGTGGAGACAAAATAACTACTTCACCAGCGTGTCGTTTTCCAATGTTCTTCAAACCGTGTGCCACTCGGTATGTGTGCGATATGACCTTCTTTTTTCTGGTGGTCCGTTCACGAGCTCAGCCTGTATTACACCTGTCTTCAAAAATCAGCGGATATTTTCGAAGGCTTGGGTAATGGCGTGTTTTGATAAGCCTTTGATGAGATGCCGTTCGCCTTCGATCGGCACGTACCACATTAAAAGGAAAGGGGATAAGTGCGTCAGCCTGTCGTCAGTTTCGCTCAGTTGCAGCAGAATTTATGTATACCTAAGCATTACTTGCAACTTATGATGCCACTATTTATCTGGTTTTCCGAGCTAGGGGCTTTTTAGCGATCTATACATATACATTGCATATGTTTGTAATTCTAAATAAATTTTTTTCATGTCGGCGCCTGTCCTTTGCCTTTTAATCCTTCGCCCTCGTCTTGTGTGAGCTCCATCAACCATTAACTATCGAACTCCCAAATATCATCCCCTAGCGTGTCCAACTGTAACGTTATGGAGGCCTCGTCCCGGACCTTAATGATGCGTGGCGGTGAAGTCTACCACTGTTATCTGCCTCCCCTGCGATTCGCATAATCTCGGTGTCGATCAACGTATCGATAGTGCACGGGCGCTCTTCACACCACAGCTTGCAAGCATTGTACGAGATTGCGTTCCGAAACCATGATATGATTATGCGAGACGTCGTAGTGAAGGGCTCGGGAAATTTCGACCACCTGCAGTTCTTTAGGCGCGCGGCTAACTCTAAGCACAAGGGTCCCTAGCATTTTGCCTTTATCGAAATGCGGCAGTCGCGGCCGGGATTAAATCCCGCAACCTTAAGGTCACTAGCCGAGTGCGATAACCACTTATAGATCTTCGCGGCAGCTTTGGCAAGTGCTGTTGGTGAACGCTAGCGTAAACGGTCGTGAATCGCTTTCTCCGCACAGGCGCACCATCGTGAACTACCTGGGCCTGAAGGCGCTGCTGGTGTTCTCGCCTCTGCTGCCTCCGAACAGCGAGGGCGCGGTGGCCACGCTCCTGGGTCGACTGCTGACGGGCCGCACGCCGGACCAGCTTCCGCGGTGGCGCCTCTGCCTTCGCGCCGCCGAGGATGCGATGCCGTTCGCTTTCCTCGGCATGTACCACGACGTGTTCGTCAAGGAGCACAACGTTCTGCAGCTGCGCGCCTCGCTCAGCAAGATGAAGGACCTGCTGGCTGCCTCCCTGGAAGACGTCGTCTGGCTCAACTCCAAGGACGCGCCCAGGGCGCTGGACAAGGTGCAGGGGCGCAGAACGTCATTCTTTTGTGGCGAAAGGTACCTTAGGTACCTCATTAATCGCGAAAAGTGGCCGTTGGTGGCGTCAACACGTGTGACGAAAAAAAATTCACGGGATGACGTCACAATGTAACATCATCTAAGCACAAGGGTATAACTCGGTCTTGGTTGTCGTTTGGTAAAAAGGGAACCGATTCCGGAGGCATTGCAAGACCACGCAAAGCGCTAAAAGATTTCAGTCACTCTGATCCCGGAAGCAATGCAAAACCAGGTTGGGTGCAGTAAGCTTTCGTGAGTAAGAAAGGGGATCAGTGCAGTTGACCGAGAAGAATAAGATGTGTCTTGCCTTCGAGTCGTCTTAGGAAAATGCACCAGAGACCAGGCGCTTTGTCTCTCTCTTTTTTGTTGTTTTTATCACAGCAACGGAGACCTTGCATTGAAATCGCAACGCTTTCTTTTGGTTAGACATTGTATCGTATTCACAAGTAAGTACTTGAACTAGAACTACAAAGTATAAAAGCCAGTCAACCACGCGTGAAGTCTACATATTCGGCATTGTCTGCGTATACGACACTGTGTGTGAAATTGGCAGTCAATGCCACCCGGCTAGCGAAAAACTTGGATGATTCTTTTTAAGGCATAGTACTTATCGTCGGGCTTGTCGGTATATAATTGTGAATATAGCATGACCTGTTGTACTTCTGACCTGGCTAGATGTCCCCTCTCCTGCGCTCGCGTTCCAGTTTACACCTCATGGTCCTAGGGATGTAACCTACTGCACGTGTGCACTCTTACCAACAGTGAGCGGCATAACGAGAACTGGGAACGCGCTCCCGTAGGAGCCCCCAATCATGCGTAGGCCAGGAGTATAGAATGTAGTGCACTATGGTCTATGCAAGTGAAAGCCAAGGAACAAATAAGCCAAGAGTGTAAGGCCTTTAAAGCAACATACTGTGAACGTTTGGTTGGGGCGACGATTCACGGCTAGTCTTCACGGAGTTGCGCGGCCCTCAGGTTTTTCACTCTAACAAATGCTGTCTTTCAGTTGAAGCGCCTCGATTTCGTCGAGTTCTTCCCCGCCTGGGTCATGAGTGAGGAGGAGCGAAATGTGTTCTACGAAGCGGCAAGTATCTTTCGAAACTCCGTAACGTGGTTAAATCGGTCTCTGCTGCGTACGCGTGTTGTTCCACTCGTAAGCACAGCCGAGCTTGAAGGAACGCTAACTCGGTCTTGGTTGTCTGCCTTGACAGGTCCGCGACTTGCCTGTGGGCAACTTGCTGCGCAGTCTGATGAGCGCCAAGTCCGCACACATCGACCAGCGCTTCAGGCGCCTGCTGTTCGATCCTAAGCAAGCCGCGTGAGTTATTGGCGCCACTTACCTGCCGAAACCATTAGAAGACCCATATTACCACTAGTATCCCTATATTGCCGCACTGTATTAACAAAGGCTGCTAATAGCTGGCAGCGATCATCCCATCCTATGACGAGCATGCATCAGCGAAGTAGTAAAGTAGCAACTCTGGCCCGATATTGTTAGTCGTTACCATACATGAAGGAAATAGTTGACGAAGCCAAGAAATGTTTTACAGGGGTAACCTTTTAGAGCCCTGCTGATCAGCCCCCCATATATATCGTGTGGCATAATCATGCTCACAATTATGTGGTCAATACTGGTTGGTCTAAAGCAAACGCTATAACTTTGTTCAAAACAGGATTAAGATAAAAGAACAAGGTCGATAATAGTATAATTAACACCCAAGAAGTAATCACAATAATTTTAACTTGATAATGTTGGAATCCTTGAGCATCGCAAGAAAATTAGACGATGTAAACCACTGGGGAAGAATAAGCGAAAAAAACGCGTCAACTTGATTGATATGTGGGGTTTAACGTCCCAAAACCAACATTACGGCAGACGCCGTAGTGGAGGACTCCGGAAATTTCGACTACCTGGGGTTCTTTAACGTGCACCCAAATCTGAGCACACGGGCCCTCAACATTTCCGCCTCTATAAACGCGCCAACTTGCATCCGACGTTCAGTGGTGCCAAGTGTAGGGATTTATCCCTAGATCTAGGAATTTTTAACCTCCGTGGGGAAACTCGCGTCTTTTTTGCCGAATTTAAGGATTTTTGTAAGACCCTGTAAACGTGACAATATGCGGCCTAATTAAAGCCATTACTAAGTGTTCACGCTCTTTCAACTAGAAAGGCTGTAAAAAAATGCTAGTTTAGGCTATTTCAGTGTTTTTTTTCTATTTAAGACAGTGTTGGTGTTCTGATGAACCTTGTGAAGTGGATAGCAGTTTTGTAACGTGATATTGTTATGGTGTGAATACTGGGAAAATTAAACTGTGTAGTCGTAAGAGTTAGCACGCGCATATCATGAGCTCCCCGAGTAATTGTTTCACTGTAAAACAAAGATAGATTTTGTCTTGTAGTGAAAATAAACGCGTGTCAAGATAACACTCACTGCGTGCCTTCGCCGAGCAATGTCTCTATATGAAATAATTGGGTATATTATAGAAGAACAGAGCAAAACTATGACTGAAGGTATGGTAAGGTTCAGTATTGTGGAAATCGTGTGATTAAAAGAGAAAAGAAAACTATTTCAGTGTTTCAATCTTTCGTCAAGCCCTTTACATGATAGCAATAAAGTGACGAATAGATTTAGCCAAACTGAGAGCTGATCGTAAGTACAGAGAAGAGGCTTAGCTATCGGCCAGCGCTATAGAGTGCCCACTTAGTTCGACTGAAAATATTGCGACAGCGATTCCGAATGTGAAAAATTAAGGATAGACCACCCGCTGTCAAGCTGCAAGTACAAGAAAGGCGTTACAGACTTGACCCGAATGATCACACATATGCCTCCAATGCGTCTGCAAAGTGAAATTGGCATGCAAATTATTTGCAACTCCACAGACCGTGTAGAAAAAAGTCCCTAAATGACGGTTGATGGTGATTTTTGCTTTTAGCAATATTCGGAAGAACTTGGCCGCAGAGGGCACTATCTTAATACATTGTTAAGAGTCAGTTAGCCTGAAAACTGACCTTAAAGACATAATGGAGGCATCTTTCTTGCAATAAAAATTTTTCAATGTTCAATCTAGGGATAAAACGTCTCCTTGGGTTGGCATCACTGCTGACATTTTTTTGAAACGAAGAACATAATATACCCTCGATTCAATTTTGTGCATATGCACACATTATCCAACAAGTGATTACATGGGTTAATCTTACAGCATGAAAAAGAAATTCGTCAATTGATAAAATTCAATTTTTAATTTTCGCCCATTGTTGGGATGTTATTTTGTCATTTATCGGATAACTCGGGATCTAAAATGAAAGATTCTGAGTGGCGCTGTTTGTGAATGAATAGATGATAAAGAAGATTAAGAATTTATCCAAACTAATCGTTACGCTGTAGATGCAGTCAAAACAGAGTACCTTGGCGAGCTCCGGCATACCTGACGTAATGTGTCGTCTATTTGATTTCCCTTCAGATGGTTCGGGTCGGTGTTCGATGTCCACGTGACCTATGACCCGCAGAACAACACACTTTGTAAGTACGAGAGATACGTAACCGTTGATTCCTGATTGACTCAAAACTAGAATGGGACGAGGGGTGGGTAAAGGAGAGACATTCTCCGGTAACGCATAGTGCTACTAGATAATAGTCATATAGTCGCTGAGCCTACACTGACCTGGAAATAAACACTCGCTCACAAGCATGCTACCTTTCTGGCTGCAGACATACCAATGGCCATGTTCGCCGAACCGATGGGGTTTGACAGCGCCGAGACGTAAGAAAAAAAACACCACCATCTTTTGTTAGTTTGGTTTTTGTAATACCGAAGTTCCCGATAGGTGTCTGTGAAACTCGTTACCGTTAAGGCGCGAGTCAGTCTTTGACCTTTAGTTTCGCCGTTATATATGTGTGCCGTGGCAGACCCTGTTGCCTGACGTCAGAACTCTTTGCCGATACTCTTAACTGTATACTAATAATAACACGGGCAGTCCTGCGAAAGCGGAGGATTCCTTTGGCAGTCGTAACACACGCATTGCGATTTCTGTTGTTGGCACACTGTAGCCATAGCGTTTGCGAAGGAAGATCGAGCTACGTGTCGTACCAGGAGTGATTGCGAGAATCCCGTTTGTAGGACAGGATCAAGTAGCGACAGTGAATATTCTTGAAAGATTTCAAATAGCGCTTCAATATCTGACGTGGTTGGTTAAGCCTAGTTCGGCCTACGGTACAACTTTCTCGATGTTGCTGCCAGTGAAAGCTTGTGAAGTCAGATCTGTTGAACGGACCGACAAAGAGGGAATCATTTCTAACGGTGTGTCACCATGCGTTTGCTACAGTGTGCACAAACTCTTCGCTGTCCGTTAGGATCGTCGGGGAGCATTAGCAAGGTGCGCGAAGGGGCACACATGCGAACCGAACCAATCATCACAAATGACGTTTGTGATGTCCGGTTCTTTTCCTTTGCATCCTTGTTTTGCGCGCGTTCTTTTCATCGGCGATGAACACCCACAAGTGAGCTTGAAATGGCGTCTTTCCGAGTTCCGTTCGGGCCGCTTTGCAGGCCCTTGTACATTCCGCGCGTGCTGGCCGGCCTGGCCCAAGAGCTGATGTCGGCGGTGACGGGCCTTGGCTCCCTCTTCGACGTCCAGAGCGGCGCCGTGCACGACTGGTGGGGCCCCGAGACTCGCGACGCGTACGCCAACTTCAGCATTTGCCTGGCGCAGCAGTACAACGCCTCGATCAGCGGGCTCTTCGTCAGCTCTGTGAGTTACTGTGGTATTCTAAAATATACAGGGAACGTGAACACAAGAAAAAAAAAGTCGGGACACCACAAAGGCGTTCTTGACTTCCTGATCACCACAAACGCCTTCATGACCATAAACGCTTTCAAATGTTCCTGACTTTCTTTCTTGGGTTCCTCCCTTACTTATTGTGTGAATGCTTCTTTCTTGGGTTCCTCACTTACTTATTGTGTGAATACGTGCTCCATGTTATTCTAAGCTTACTGCGGCAGTCAGACGCTTTCTGAGACGATTGTTCTTGCATTGTCGTAAGGGTAAATAGGTCATCCTTGTTTCAGCTTTATAATTTCAGGAAGTCTATCGTACTTTAATGGGGAAATTTGCATGTTCACTCAGAATGCTTCTGGCCTTCACTCTGTGGCATTTCAAACATGTGGCCTTTGTGAACTCTTGTATTTAAGTAAAAGATATTATACTGGAGTGTAACACTAAATGACCTTTTCTGAGAAACGCAAAGCACTGCGACCGTGAAATCGGAAATACTTGTACGAAGTATTTTTTTGGCGTTCTCGCGAAGGCAAAACTTTTTCGACTAGTGTCCTTGCATAAAAGAGCAACAGCGTCCAGTGATAAACTGGCGAGTTTGAGTTTGTGTTCGAAACTCTGCCGCAGCAATACGGCGCGCTGACCGCGGAGTCCAACGTGCGCGACAACGCCGCCGTGGCCTTCTTGAGCAATGTGAGTTGACCGCATGCTGGTCTCGCACGAGCCATGGGAAGATGGGGGAGGGCGCGCATGCGCGATAAGTCGCGGGGCCGCTTTTCTAACGAGCCTCGCTCGCACGTCTTCGACCCTGGCCAGATGTACACCAGGCACCTCAGGGAGCGCGGCATCAAGGGGAACTTCGTGCTGGCCAACCTGCCCAACGTCACTGCCCAGCAGCTCTTCTATACGTCATACGCCATGGTGAGTCTCTTGGTTGAAACGATATCCGGATAGATCAAGAACTACGGCGTGCTTCGTTATCGCATCGTGGCGTTGGCTCTCAAAAGCCCGGATGTTATTAGTTATCGTGTGATACAGGTTCAAAACAAGGTCCACGCACAAGCTCATCGTAGACCTGATGTGATGCCATCTGCACTGACACCTACAGCGGTACTTCTCACAGCGGTACTTCTCACATCAGCGGTACAGCGGTACTTCTCACATACAGCGGTACTTCTCACATCACTGTATTCTGTCAGCGTACATCACGTCATACATGTATACAGTCGGCCAAATATTTAGCTATAGTGCATGCGTGGCATTTTTCTTGTGTATATATTCGCCATACGACTGAATTGTGAGTTGAATTAGAGACGATTGTATTTCTATAAAGCACATGTCCACGAAGTAGTTTTTTGTAGCCTCATTCTATAATATGGCGCTGGCAGACAAAAAAAAGTGGCCGCTGCACATAATAGATATTGTTTTGGCTGAATGTACATACAGTCACTCTTAATATGACGTGCAACACGGAAGCGCATGGCTTCACGAGTTCACAGATTGCGCGTGGCTTCCACTAGCCGTTATCTTTATTACTAAATGTGTTTCTATCACTTAGGTATGATCTCAAATAAAAAAAAATTATACTTAGTTGTTGAAATAAAAACAAGTTGAAGCCATGCGCGACTTTTCAACTCCGTGAGGTCGCGTGCTCCCGTGTTGCAAGTCGCGTTTAGCGTGTACTGTACAGTTATTGCGGATTGAAACATGAATATTTATGGCTAAATAATGTACGTAGCTTCCTGTATACCACGTAGAGTGTATGTTCAGTTCACGTAATTTCGACTGTACAGGAGGAGGAGGTAGGACAGGTAGGTTACCCAGTTTGACTGTGCAGAGTCAACATTACCTTAAGCGGCCAGATATGCAGTGATATGACGCGACTATCACGAGCAGTTGCTCTTAGCGGTCGTTTCCATTTGCTTTTCAAATCCCGGTCCTGGCAGATGAATTTTGGTGAATTCGAAGTTCTATAGAGGTCAGTGTACCGAGATATATAGGTGCACGTTAAAGGAAGCCCAGGTGGCCGAAATTTCCGGGGCCCTCCACTGCATAGCGCACTCATAATTATATCGATGTTTTCGGGGCCAAAGCCGAGCAATTATTATTAGTATATATAGCGTAACTAAGCATATACACACGTAGAAACAAAAAAAAAAGGGGGGGGGGGAGACAGGTTCGAACACCAAGGCACAGCTAGGCTATCAAGTCGCGCCATGTTCGCAAGCCATTTCTCGTGCAGTCGCCGCTTGAGAAATCGATTGCAATATGAACTCTATAGACTCGCGCTGTATATTGCTCACGTTAACGAACGTAATGTGCGTACCTTGTTGTTCGCTTGTTCCTTTACTCGTACCTGCAGGGCTTCTGCGAGAATTCCAACGAAGGCTACCCGCAGCGCCATGTGAAGACCTCTACTGTGGCGCTCACGCATCACCGGTAACTAAAGTTTGCTGTTTGTTTCAGAAAGCCGAGCTAGTTGGGGATGTAAAATATCTTGCTGTATCCAAGTTTGTTTTCGCTATTTTACAATACTATTTGGTTGCGTGCTGAGTGACTGATTGTTAGTTGGCCATTGTTACATGTTTCTGTCTGGAGTTATTCATTGTGCCCTTCCTGTAACAACCTTCAAGATAGGGTCAACATTATGATTAAATAAATAAATAAAAATTATTAATGAATAAATAAATGAATATTTATATAAATAAATAAATAAAATAAGACTCTAGGTCCGCAAAAGAAGTGGAAATCACTGAGGCTCACTCAAGAAATGTATCTCATGCTTTGGACTCACTCCGACTCGGACTCGGTAAAATTTTCCTGAGCCGAACTCTCTCGCACTCAAACTCACCCAAGTATTTGTCTCCGGAACTCGCTCAGGCTCAGACTCGCGGCTCTATTTGAGTCTGGGTGAATGCGATTGACGGCTTATGAGCGAGTTCGCCCTCCTATGAACGTGAGTACCAACGTTACGTCATACGATCGTGTACTTAAGGACGTCACTGAATGCGACCGTGCCTGGTAAACACGTGGCCGATCCCATAACTAGAGGGCAAGATGGTGGGAGAGAATTCTATGAGCCTGTGTCCGCCTCCAAACTGTTATTCCTCGAACGATCGCATTTCTCGAATAGTGAAGACCCTAAAATAAGAGGTACTTGCCCCTTCGAAAACGTTTCTCGCTATGGGCCTGCCCCATGTGTAACACACAACTATTCAAGATGCACAAAGGTCCGTTTAACTCTCCAACTCTTTACTCGAAGCAATAAGAAAACGCTATATAGACCACTAATTGCCTACCGCTTCGCATGGAATCGTTTTCTCAGAATAAGTGTGATCTGCCGTTTTTTTTTTTTTGTTCCAGAGTCAACATTCCTTTGGCGAACAGCGATGGCTTTGGCGACGCCTTCCGATGCCTTCGGGGGACACCGATGAACCCGCACGTCAAGTGCAAGTTCTGGAGGTTTCAGTAAAGAAAGGAAGAAAAATGCGTGACTGCTCTCTTTGCAATTCGCTGCAAAGCTTGTAGAGCGATGTGAATTGTGTATTCTGGTGTAATCGTGCGATTAGACCTTGTCCAAGTGAGTTATGCTACTCAGGTTATTGGCCAAGCAATACGGATGGTAGACGATCATCATTAAAAATTTATAACGTGAACTAAAAAATACCTGCGAGAAAGGATTACTGGCGTATTACTTCAGCCATCGTTTGGATGCATCACCTTGTGATTCATTGTCGCAGATAATCAAGTAGCAATTATTCAAGTATATCGAGGACCCAAGCATATTTTGCCAGAATTATTTCGGGGTTTGCTTCAATTGCCTCAAATCTAAAATAAAAGCGGTATTCAAAGCAAGATGGCACAGCTTGCGATGAAAAAAATTCGTTAACAGTGGTGGTGCGCATCTTCCCACTCTTCGAAACATTGGCTCACGCACACACATCCTATTTACAAGTCTTGATTGCTGAAGAAGCACAAAATAATGCATCAATAGCACATGGTTGGTGTTGTGAATATGGCTTCATCACTTGAGTGTCCAATAAAAGTGTGCTTCAATTCGTTGTCTTACAAGGCCATGTTTGTAACTACCGGTAATTAAGGAATTCGCCGTAGGTGCTGCGAAATGGGCTGATAATTTGCATTTATTTTTATTCGCTGTGCGTATTCAATTACGAGCTCATTGTCGCGTTACCGTGTTTTAAGTTTTCCGCTTGCTCCATTTGCCGAGCAGTATTGGGTTCCCATAACGCTGCATCTCGTATCTCACGTTAGCAAGATGCAGTCATGTAGAATCGCTCATTGCTACGACTCTTCTGGTCTCATCTTTCCCGCAATTGATGATGATGATTATGATGGTCATTATGATGATGATGACGACGACGACGACAAGTTCTGCCAAATGAGGAGGTCCTCTAATGCCGTCTGGCATGATGGAAAAAGGTTCGGTGTATACACGAATATTGCAAAATGTTTGCGCAATTGTGATCGAGTATGTAAACGTATAATTGTGCATTACGATGTCTCGTAGTACAGACATACTAAAATAATGGATAGTGCATCGTGGACACGAGATGCTCAACACATAAGTAATCAATACGAGCGCTAACGAGAAGGATAGTCATAATAAAGAGTTTGTTGAATTTGACCAATATTTGCACACGCACAGGTATTGCCATTGAGTCAAGTGCAAGCAATTGGTCTTAATGCTGCGTTTTTCTAGTCTTTGTACAAAAGTCAATCGACGAAATAAAAAGAATTTGAGCTAATGATTTCATAATAGACGACAACCGTGAGCGTAGTCCAAATAAATGTACTGTACACCTGATGACCATCGCCCACTCTCGACATTGTACAGACAGACAGACGCTTCAAGTGGAAAAAATGAGCTCCTGCCACGTTGTCGACGCAAGTAATACATGGTGACGTTGTGCTTCTAACAGAGACTACGTAAACATTCGCATAATAATACTAGACTTATTAACAGCATCTACACAATAGCAGCATCTACACAATAGCATTTCTGCTCTGTTCAGCGCATTTAGCGCTAGAGTGGCGCTTAATCTTCTAGCAGTTCCTGTACTTCGTTCGTTTCCACGGCGCCATATTTTATAAACTCGGGGTGTGTCGGGTTCGGCTCCGTTGGTTCATCGGCATCCAAGTCGCAAAAGCGGCGGATCAGCCAGAAGCAGAGGAAAAACGCGCCGATCATCGAGAGCAGAATGAGCCACGTTCTCTTCGTGCCACTGGGCATATGTGGTCTGGAAACGCGAAGACGTTGAGGACTTGGGTCTTCCACCATCGCCGCCTGAGAGGAGCCGGACGAAGTGACATCTACTGAATGCGCGCTTCCACCGGCGTCGTGTTCGTTATCTTCTGTGGTGGACCAGGATAAGCCATCCTGGTGTTGACCAACGGAGTTCTTTCTTCCGAAAGCCTCCAGGAGTCTGAAGAACTTGACGGGGGCAAAAAAAGAACCATGTCGTTTCGGTATTGCAGGTGTTTCTTCAGTGCTTGACTGCGCCGTCAGCAGTGAGACAGATCCACCAATGTCGTCTTCGACACTCCCCTCGTTGCTGGTCGTATAGTCGGGAGTGATTCTCGCCTTCGGTGCCGTAGATGGACCTCCTGGTATTTTCTCCTCAAGCGGTGACAAGTCTGGCGCTATGAGACAATCGCCCGCTGCCGTGTCCATGTGCTGGACTCGCTGCATAATTGGAGCTTCACTCTGATGCGAGATGACGTGTTGCGTCGCTCCTGGTAGGAGTAGCAGTCCTGGCGTGCCCTCAGCCCAAATGTTGCAGGGCAGCTTAATTCTTATCTTCTGTCTTTGAGCGTATGGCGTTGCGCAGATGGCATCGAGGCGCCAACTGAATAATCATGATAATAATCTGCATCAGTGGATAATGACGATGGTGCTTACTTGTAACATGGGGCATGCCCACTAAGGAGTTACCATGAAAGTATTGAGCTGCACATGATAAAGTTTGTTATGTATATATGTAAAGTGATTTACATGAAATATTTGAGCGGAATATAAGAATACAGATAAAACATATAGACACGGACGTCACAGCTGACGCGCGTTGATAAGAGTAACACAACTAAACTCCACGTAATATATTCTTTGGCACTTCTCTAACTGATGCCTAAGCTTACGGTTTCTAAAATTTTCATTGCATTTTAATCAAATTGATAGGGTGTGCTGCTCGTACCGTTTCAAGAAAACTGATCGAAGGAACCTCTCGGACCTCAAAGGTAAGCCATGCCTACCGTGTTGTCCTCTTTGCTTTCCTTGCCTCGCCTTTCTTTTCACGTTTCTTCTAGCACCTTCGTGCTCGCGCTGCAGCCCTTATTACCGTGCGTACCGACTGCAAGCAAGGTTTGTGACAATCAGTGGTACAACTCTACTTTGTTTCGAGCCGACGAAAGACCTGGTATCAGCCAAGAAGGCCAGGTTAATCTCCAACCAGCCTCATTGTTCTTTAAGCATTGCGCAGCTGGTACACGCTTCGCCCTTATTCATTTTTTTGGTTTTAAAGTCTCGTTCTATTTCAATAGAATTGATTGAGGGCGCAAGAAGGCCATGCACCGACACACATATTCAGCGTTTAATATTGAAGAATGTGTTTGCGCAATGTACAGATCAACTGTTACACAGTCCTGTCAAGTCCGTGGCAGTAGACGAGTCGGTAGGGTGTTCAGGTCAAATCGTAAGAACGCTGGCTCGAATTATAGTGCAGATAGTGTTAAAAAGGCAAAGGCACAAATCCATGTGGGTAAGAATGCTAAATTCACTAAAAGTAAATTTCTTATTTTAATTATGACTTGATTTAACTTTAACTATGGGCTGCAATAACGCACAGCCCTAGTCGCATGTTCGCTTCATAACCGGAAAATCACTGGTTCGAATCCCTCTGTTGTCTTCATTTGCAACGTGAACTCGTTGGATGCTTTAAAATTATATTTCATGTGATATTATTTTCTGAAAATACTGGATCCCTTTGCCTTCAAACAGGTGACCACCAGCCGGCACTGTATATCGAACCTGGTACCTCCTACAGCGTAAGCAGACGCTCATGGATATTTTTCCGCTAAATGTTGCCTGGTACGCTTGCTTTCCTGCCATACATGTCGAAAAGCAGCCGAAAAAGTTGAGCCCCTTATCACCCATGATAAGGCTCAAATTTTGTCTGACGCCACAGCTCGAAACGATGTACCCTGCATGCGTACTTTCTGAGCTTAATGTTTCTGGTAAGTTAGCTTTCTCGCAATGATGCCAAAAAGTAGCAAAAAAAGTTGGGGTCCCTATCACGCCTGATAAGGCTCAACTTTTGTCTGACGTCACCGCTCGAAGCGCTGCACCCAGCACACGTATTGCCCAGCTAAATGTTTCCTGGTATGTTGGCTTTCCCCCAATAAAAGTAAAAAATCTGCCGAAAAAGTTGAGGCCCTTATCAGCCATGATAAGGCTAAACTTTTTTCTGACGTCACAGCTAGAAGTGATGCTCCCAGCATGTGTATTTACCGAGCTAAATATTTCCTGGTAAGCTGGCTTTTCCACAACAGATGTCAAAAAGCAGCCGAAAACGTTCAGGCCCTTATCAGCCATGATAAGGCTCAACTTTTTTCGGACGTCACAGCTCGAAGCGATGCACCCAGCATCCGTATTTCATGCAAAATGTTTCCTGGTAAGTTGGCTTTCCCGCAACAGATGTCAAAAAGCAGCCGAAAAATTTCAGGCTCTTATCAGCCATGATAATCTCAATTTTTTTCGGACGTCACTGCTCGAAGTGATGCTCCCAGCATGCGTATCTACCGAGCGAAATGTTCTCTGGTAAGTTTGCTTTCCCGCAATAAATGTCCAAAAAGCAGCCGAAAAAGCTGAGGCCCTTATCGGCAGTGATAAGGCTCAACTTTTTCCTGACATCACAGCTCCAAGCGATACAAAAACTACGCATGCTAGGTTCATCGTTTCAAGCTGTGACGTCAGACATAAGTTGAGCCTTATCATGGGTGATTAGGGCCTCAACTTTTTCGACTGCTTTTCGACATGTATTGCACGAAAGCGAATGTACCAGGGAACATTGAGCTCGGAAAATACGCGTGCTGGGTGCATCGCTTGGAGCAGTGACGTCAGAAAAAGTTGAGCCTTATCATGACTGATAAGGGCCCCAACTTTTTTTACTGCTTTTTGACAATCATTGCGGGAAAATAAACCTACCAGGAAACATTTAGCTCTGAAAATGCGCATGCATCACTTCGACCTCTGACGTCAGACAAAAGTTGAGCCTTATCAATGGTGATGAGGGCCTGAACTTTTTCGGCTGCCTTTTCGACATGTATTGCAGGGAAGCAAACTTACCAGGCAACATTTAGCTAAAAAAATACGTATGAGCGCCTACTTTCACTGTGGAAGGTACCGGGTTTGATACCCAGTGCCAGCCAGAAGTCACCTGTTTCAAAGGCAAAGGGATGCAGTATCTTCATAAAATTAAACTACAAAAAATAAAATTTTAACGCCTCCAACGAATTCCTGTTGCAAATGAATAGAAAAGGGAGATTCGAACCAGTGACCTTCCGGTTATGAAACGAACATGTGACTAGGGCTGTGCGTTTTTGTAGTACATAGTTAAAATTAAGTTACTCGCTTCCATGTCGGAGCCACTATAATTGCATCGATTTACCAACACAGTTGAAGTTTTTCATGCTTTCTTAAAGGTCGTATGCGGTTATCAGTTTCGAAAGATCTAAAAGACGAAGATCAGCCTAACATTGCAGGTAGAATATCACTACGTGGCTGTGGCTGAGAGGTTAAGTGTTCGTTTTCAAACCGGCTGGTCGGTGGTTCGAATGCCATTGTCAGCCCCATTTGCAAGTGGAATTCATTAGTCTTTGAAATTTTATTATATTCTGAAATTTTGTCAAAATTCACCTTCTGGCAACTTGGCGGCATGAGAACCACGGCACACCCACAATTTTTTTCTCCGCATTAATTCTGTTCGTTTCACAAATTATGTCACAGCACGTACATTTGAATTCGTGTACGAATTCCTGCACGTGTGGTGAAGAAAGACAACCGAACGGCTCGAATACAAAACAAGCTTTATTTTTGTCTCTTCACTGTTCTCAATTTCCTTTTCCCTCCGTTGTGAGGTAGTTGAGTAGGCGAGGTGAGGACGGGTTAAGAGCGGACTCCGGCGTCTTCTTCGGTTGATTTGTAGGCGGCCACCGCGGCACTATAGTAAGTTGCCGAGTGGAATTCGAACATTTAGCGACAGAGGCTTGCAGGCAAAGGCGTAGCCAAGAGAAGGGGGAGGGGAAGTAAAAATTCAAACCCTCTCTGAATATTTTTAATTTCGTTTGCCTATACATACATTTACACGTATAAACGCATGCATTAACATACATAAAGTACGGTCGAATCCCCAAAAAAAAAACTGTCCACCTCTAAAACTACCTCTTAAGCCACTAATGCGCGCGTTAGTGACAGGCATTGTTACTCAAGTATGAACAAGGTCTCCTATTTCCAATGCTTTCTAAATATGTGAATGCGTATAAAATGTCTACATATGTTTACAGAGTAGAACATCTGTTCGCCTGGTAACGTTATGGCCATTTTATAAGGGTGGCACAGCAAACTTTGACACAGAGATGACGCTACATGCAAATGTCCCCTAATTCTGGTGATGACAAAGGGGAAAATTATGGAAACGATTTAATCGAAACGGCGGATGTATTCACCGAGCTCCACAAAATTGACTGAGAGGCTGTACAATAGCTGCGAAAATCTGAAGTAAAAAGAAGGAAGGGAAAAAAAACGTTTAATGAGTGGTAGCGGCAATACACATAAGATGAATGATTCGACATTATGGTATACGAAATTTCATCAACGGAAGATGATGAAATGAGCACAGGCAAGAATAAGTGCTCTCTAACGCACACCGTTAGTCGTAATAGTCTGTTTCGGTGGCGTTAACGACTCCTTCCACAGTCTCCACCGCCTCAGACATATTCGCTGCCACATTCACCTTCAGCGTTATCGTCACGTTCATCGCTAAACTATCATTTCTTGCCCCTTCGCCGACTGGGGCGGGATGCAACGAGTCATTTCGCCCTTCGGGGTCAACAGCGTCCTTTGCTGCCCGTTCATCGTCCTCGCTCAGCAAGGCGTTTGAAGAGACGACCTCCTCCGTGCCATCGGGGTCACTGCGGTCATCTTCATAATTGTCGGCCGAAGATTCGCGTGACGAATCTTGCGGCGTTCCTACGCCAGTCGAGTTGTCCTGCCACGTGCCATTGTTGTCCACCACGTGTCCAGCGAAGTGGGTGACCTCGGTTTTGTTGCCGATCAACGATGTGTCGTTGTCGGACGCGTCTCCGATGGTCACCTGAGGGTCCAGAAGTCCACCTCGCCCGCTTGAAGAGTCGGTCTCTCTCGAGCCGTCGCTGATGCCGACTTCGACGTCATCGCCAGGAAACAGGGCGTTCTCGCCACCTCCACTGTTGCTGTCTCCGGAGGTCACCTCGGGAGGCGGCAGGGACGGCGAAGCGGACTCCTCCTCGGCCGCCGACGGTGGCCTGCCAGTGCTGTCGGTCACGGACGTCGCCTCGGGGCTCACGAGGACCTTGGAACGCCATTGGAACACGGGCTTGCGCGTGGTCTTGGCGCGCCGCCGAGGCCGGAAGGTCCGCGTTCTGTTCAGGCGCCGAGTCAGCAGTGAAGGCGTCTGCGATGCATTGTGCGGCTGGTGTCGTCTCAGGACCACGACGGGCGTTCGTAGCCGGCGACGCCTGGACCGTTCCGTGAGAAACACCACTGCACAATAAAAGCAAGCGTGCGACCTGTAATTTAGTACTTGTTATAGTTATAAATTTCGGTAATAAACACAACCAAACAAGGCATAAGTTCGGGATAAAATGCAAGCTTCAAGTGTTGCGAAGTGGTTGAACAAGATTTTTTGCTATTAAATAATGTTTCCACAAGAGGGCTCGTCTACATCAAGGCGCTCACGAAGGCAAGTCCCATTGCCAAGACATTTATTGCACCGACGATTTTATTTGGCGATTTATCACAGCAAAAATGTTAGTCAAATACAATCAAGTCCCCTCGTAAGAGCATGCAATTTTTACATAAAAATGGTCTCAGCCATCGGGACAGAATACTTAGGCACGGCTAGAGTATTGTCCAGTCATACCATGAGTGATCGTCAGTTGACATTTAGAACATTCTACCTCACTCAAAGTTCAGAAAGCTGTGCACTGTCTACGTTTTATAAAATGCTGGCCGCAAGAATTGGTGCATATATATACGGACGCACAGATGTCCGTGTCTGCTTACAGTTGGGGACAGCGTAGTCCGAGTCGTCGAGGTCCCTCAGGACTTCTTCCTGAGCACTAGCTGAAGAAAAAGACACATACAATAATATGTATTTTACTTCGTGGTCAAGAAAAACTAAATCCATTTGATTAGTGCGCATCGAAAATCAGATTCACCCTTACCTTTCAAGTACTCCCGGTTTCGGTGAGTCGGCGCAGGCGTCACTCCTGTACTGAAAATAAGGTAAGCCCTTTAGAACCATGAAAGGTAAACACGATATCTCATGTGGAACATCTTTCTCCAAACGTTTGCTACCACAATCATTCACACACAGGAAATTTTTGTTCCAGCTAAGCGACACGTATGCACTTCATGCATTTAAAGGAAGTTCTGAAAGCCTTAAGCTAATATAGGTAATGTGAATAGGCTTCAATACGCTGCAGTGCCTCGCAACTAAACAATTGCACTGACAGGCGAGCTGTTTTCACGTGCGCAATGACGTGCACCGAGGTCCCCGTGGCTGTGATGTTTTGTTGCTTGCGCTGTGCTCACTGTGCATGGAGCAAGTAAATGTACTAAGAGAGAGCGTCCCGTTTTAACCCTGAAGCCAGCCATCAAAACTGAAGGAAGAAGGAGCCCCTACATACGTGACAGGCAGGTGCCACTGCTCATCGGCTCGCTTTGGTTGCGTCTATTGCGGGCCCTGCGCTGGCCAAATTCTGCCCAAAAGGCTACTTGCACTGACCTCACATGAGGGATGATGTCAGAGAAGGTTGGATTGCCGAAGCCAGCGGAACCGCGGGACTTTCCTTTCTAGTTTCTTCCCTTCCTCCATGATGGCGCTTCCTACACGTCACGTGACATCGTCGCGTGACATCTTCGCGAACGTGACGTGAAATGTCGCTTCCACGTCATAAAACTAAGAAAATCGGCTTGAGTGCGCATTAACATTCATCTCGGAAGCCTGTGAAAACTACCGCCAATCTACTCCATAAAGATTGTCTTGCAGCTAAACGGCATATGCACGATAAATTACCCTAGCATCATCTTTTCCCCAGTACCGGCGGCAATAATTCGTTGCCGTATATTGCCTCGGCTTCGCGAGCTCACAGCCGGAGTGGTCGGCTCTCCGCTGGCGCTTGACCCTTGCATCGCGAGATCGCAACGCAGCGTCTTCGGCGCAAAAACTTCTACGGGTGCGAGTATACACGATTGGCTAAGCGAGGTCACGTGCAGTTAGCAAAGCACATGATTGGCTATGAGATCACGCGATGTTGTGTGAATCCGCCAATAGATTTGAAATTAGTGCTTACACCCGACTGATCAATCATGATGCCCCCATTGAACCTTTTAGCACTCGCACTGACATCTTTCGGTGGTCATTTTTCCCGGATGCTATAGAACAATGGAATTCTTTACCCCGACATGTTATTAATAGTACCGATGTGCAAACTTCTGATAGAGAAATTGATGCTTATTTTGGTAATGGTTGAAGTACTGCCCATTCTGTTTTCCTGTGTTTATTGCTTAGTGGTTTTTTTAGGTGTTCTGTTTGTACTCATATTGTACTCCCTCCCTGTTATGACCCTCAAGCGAGGGTTGACAGTATTATTAAATAAATAAATAAAAATCAAAGCAACATCACGCGAGTAAGCAAGATCACGCAAGCAAGATCACGCGATTCGATCATTGGCATGTAACCGCTATACTAGTTCGCTGTGGGCTTTCAGTACTGCTGCTGCACAGACTCGGCTTAGACAGATTCGATCGTAAACCTTTTTGCTGGGGAAATCAAAGCTCAGTGCCGGAAGATTAAGCGCCGCAACATGGTTTAGCGTCGACAGCACCTTCTGTGTGGACGATGCCGTGAATGATGTAGCCCCAGAAGACGCCCACCAGGGTGACCATGGCGAAGGAGCAAAACGCGATGACCGAAACGCTCCTGTTCACAAAGCAAGCGTCGAGGGTAAGAACACGGCGTTATTAACCAAATGAGAATCAAATTCGCGAACATCATTCATGAGATCACTGTTGCATTCACGTTCTGTGGTCTTTATGGTCTCAAGAATGCTGTATTGAACGTGACACGCTGAAAAAAAGGACACAACGTCGTTCGTCCCCTATAGTTGTTCGTCATCGACACCGCCTGTTACAGAGTCCACAGTCAGGGAAAAAGGAATTCGTCCGAACACTTCATAATTGACTTGCCTCTCCACAACTTCTGTTTTGGACCTGTCCCGTTGTATTCAAGTCTATTAGCCTATCAGCCGCCATTGCAGCCGCTACGATGTCGAGTTCGCAAAGTACTACAGGCTGCGGTGATAAAGTGGTGAGCACGTGGTTGGGCTCTGCCTAGCAGCCGATGACTCTAGAGTTTTCCGTGCTCACTCCAAAGTTGTTCGCCACCTTTCGCATTGTCGTTGGCTGCAGCGCGCTTGAGGTAACCACACTAATCGACAACTAAAGCTCTGGCATCATGAAAATTGAAGCGGATAACAGACAACCACTCGTTCGTAGCACAAAGCCCCAAGGAAGTCAACACGGACTTTACCAGAGTGATTATCCCGGTAGGGTGTTGGTCTCGGGTTCGATGCCTGGACCCGGATGATTTTTTTTCAACTATCGGCTTTCGTTTCTTAGAAGTCCGTAAGAACTTCCTTTTGGCTTTGGGCCACAATGAAGTGGTTGTCAATTATAACTTTAATAACTCTTCCACCATCTTTCAGGATTCCGGAAGGCCCGACAACATTGTAAGAATTTCTTAGGTTCGATGCTTGGGCCCGGATGATTTTTTTTTTCAACTATAGGCTTTCGTTTCTGAGAAGTACGTAAGAACTTCCTTTTGGCTTTGGGCCACAATGAAGTGGTTGTCGATTATCACTTTAATAACTCCTCCACCATCTTTCGAGATTCCGCAAGACTCGACAACATTGTAAGAATTGCTTAGGTGGCCCCATAGCCTTTTTTTTATTTTATACAACAACGCGATACCTAAACGAAGACAAAAACAGAGATTAAAAGGGAGATGTGTTGACCTTCTTTCCTTATGCTTCATTTCGCTATATTAGAACCGATACATTTCACATGAAGGTTCGCCAACTCGCTGGCCTTTCTACTGGATTCTGTGTTGCGTGTCTCATATAGACTTATTGCATTTCGCCACCGTATAATCGAACCGGTTGTGCTTACTGTTTCTTTCTGAGCGTCCTTCCAGGCTGAGGGACGTTGAAGCGCAATCGACGATCGAGCGACTCCGACGACCTGAAAGCGGGCCAGCGAGCTTCAGTTATACAGCTTTCTTAAAGCGCGCCAACGCATGGCACATTCTAACGAGCTCAATTTAGATAAGGGGCGTCTACATGTGCAGTTACAGTATGAAAAGCGGAAATTCAGCGACTGTTGGTAACAGCGGCATTCCCTTGTTCTTACCCTTCTGAGACGTCCTTTGAGAAGGACACTCTTCGAGAGATTTCCAGTCTATAAAAGTAACATATAGAGGTTAAGATAATCCACGTGTCTCAATCAAAAGGACGTACAAACACCTGGCCACACAGCAAGAAAAATATAAGAAATTCAACGGATAATTTCAACCATCGCTCGTTGATTATTAAAACATTTAAAACCTCATACCGTTTTGATCGCGCTCCTGGTTTTCTCAAGATGGAAGGCACCGGCGGACCTCTGCAAGGTAGCGATGGAAAAGAAACAAATTGGAGAGTTTCTGAAAGGATTCGGAATTTGGAATTGCTGGGCTAGTTGGTGTGACATTTTAAGAAAAATGAGCGTTAACTTGGCACGCAAAGCAGGGAAAACGTGGACCTGAAAGCGACTTTTCCATTACTACGTTTCTTATTTGTTGTTTTTTTAATGCTTAAGCATTCATATGCCGACCCAACTGCCTTCACCCAATGACGAGTAGGTGCTCTGTATTCGAAAACTTCACTTACATTCGATAAAACTCCATGGTCTCGGCGTCCGGTATTACCTCCTGATCTTCATCCCTGATAAGGAAAGCAATGCTTCAGAAAACATGACACTGCACGCTTGTTTCGGCGCATGCGCGCACCAAACGTACTAAAGCTGAAAGACAAGACTGTGAATGTCAAAGTGCACAGTCCTTTGCGTGTACTGCGGCATTACTCTGGTGCACATTGCACGAAGGAGTGCCATTTTTCGCTCCAGACAGCTCGGCTAGGATATGATATAGAATCATTATACCCACGGCGATCGAGACCACTGGCGAAGTAGAGGGAGTGTTTAACTCCCTCCTCCAACGTGTATTGTACAAACACACGAACATACGTAAAGTATTTCTACACGCCCACCCCCGTACCCTCTCGAAAAACATTTCTCGCTACGCTACAGGCTGAGGCGGCACGTCATGAAATGATTGAAGCAGTATCTCTATTAGCTCGCACGTTCGTACATATGCCTTGTGCAATCGCCAAGTAAGCTAACGAATCTGGCCACGCGCGACCACATTTCTGTACACTGATAGTGTAGAAATGTTATCGCACGTGATGTACATACACCGATATAACCGCGTGATCAACACTGACAGCACGTAATGATGTAGCGATGTAATGATGTAGCAACATACACTGACATCATCAACAAGCCAGTGCATGTTGATGATGTCAGTGTAGATGACATTATAAAAGGCCTGTGGCGAGTGCGTACGCGGTCGTCGTTTTCGGCTGTAGAACATGATAACCAATAGTAATGGCTTGGGTATTACGCGCAGAAGCCCCGATAAGATTACGAGGCACGCCGCAGTGTACTCCGGGGGCTCCCGAAATTTCGACCATCAGGGGTTCTTGAGCGTGCACTGGCTTCGTAAAAGTAGTCGGGCCTTTAGAATTTCGCCTTCATCTAAATGCTACCGCCGGGGTCGGGGTCGAACCCACGACTTTTGTGTCAGCAACCATATACCACAGGGATTGTCTATTCTCCCGGCAACCGGGATAATTGTTCCATGAAAAATTTCTCCCGGCAGTAGCCTCCCATTGGCTCTCATATGTCACGTGACTAACTGCCGGGCGAAATTTTTTTTGTATTATTCTCCCGGCAAGCGGGAGAACTTGACCATGCCTAACCTAACGCACGCTAGGCCACATCTGTCCCGCAGCTGCCAATTTTTTCCTCTCCCCTCAACCCCCGCGAGTTAGTCACCTGACATATGAGAGCCAATAGGAGGCGACTGCCGGGAGAAATTTTTTTGAACAATTATCCTGGTTGCCGGGAGAACAGACACTGCGAATACCACAACCACTATACCACCGCGGCGGACATTTTTTTTTTTTTTTTAAGAAATGCGGTTCAGCCTACCTGCAGCCAGAGAATACCTCGGGAAATCGACTCTAAAATAGGTCGTACTTACAGCTCCATGACGGTTTCAGCAGAGGTCGTCACAGGACGGGTTAAATAATGAAGGAAGAAGTTTCCCCAGTCGTTCGGAGTGGACGGTGTGGACACCACTAGGACGTCGTACGCGGAGGAGGATCGGCGTCTAGTCTCTCGTCGCTAAGGTCGCTCAAGAGGGCGACGCATCAAGCACAACGTCGAAAGCGGCAGGCAGGGAGGGCAACGGACTACACTCGTTGCGCAAGATATGCGAGACAAAGCTTTTTCTGTGCTCAGCGAGTATCGACGGTGCCGCCACGAAGGGCTCGTGCTACCTCGCGACTGCTGCTGCCTCGTGCTGATGATCCTGATGCTGATGACCTCAGATGGATGACGCCCAGCCTCAGAGGGGGATGGGCCATGAACCGGGTGGCACATACTTAAATGAAACCAAAATCTGAAAGTCAATCTGAAAAATTAGTTTAGAAATAATACTGCCAATAAACAAAATTTTCGCTGAGCAAGCGGTCAAACCATCTCTTGTTCCTAACAGACATCGCTACGAATTATAAACTAAATATCTGAAAAGGCTAAGTTGCATTGATGTAGTCAAACACAGTGGAGCATATATCCCTGTGGCAGTAACCAAATGAAGTGCCGCCAAGTGATAAAAGTACTGGTACGTTTACTTGTATTCCTAGCTTTTGTAATGGAGCTACTAGAAATCTTTTTCTCTGATAAAAGTAACGACGACAGAATAAAAAGAAATGTGCTACAGCGACAAAGGCTCCTTCCATTTGTCATTCGCTGGCCAAGTGGTTCGGCTGTGATAATGATGATTATGAACTCGGGCAATAGCACATAACAGCAGTGACGGTACTGATACCTTCGTAGCTACGACTACTCATAATACGATTGTCAGTAACTACACAATCATGCAGAAACATGTGAAAAAAAAAGTCACACGATTCCTTGTGCTTGGTGGCTTGCTTGGCTCATGTGATTTCGCTCTAACCCACTTCGTCGGGGGATCGGCCATGAGACCACCGGGTACCAGACGGTTAAAATGTAGAATTAAAACGAACAAAAAACTAATAGTTTGATTGGGGAATATTTTAGGGTGATTATTTTACGTACCGATAAATAAGTGTAGAACAACACAGAGGTATACAATCATCGGATAATAAGAAAGGCTGAAGGGCGAAATTTTGAATGAAAGTAAATTAGCAAAGGATTTCTTTGGTGTCGCCGAAAAATTCGCGTACGATTATGCAGATGTTCCTGTTGCTGTGGCCCAGAGAAGACACCCCGAGAGAAAGAATATTTTCTGAATAGACAGTAATTCCTAAGTTCCTAAGCAGCTCTGTTGCAAATAAACACTATGCGGGCATCATATCGGGCAAGAAATCCCACTAATAAATTCTAAATAGCAATAGGAGTAAAATAACAATTAGGAGTCACAAAATACTACCAATTGCATAAAAAGTGAGTGATTCGAAGCATAATAACCATTACAAATGTCTCAGCCATAATAATTCATCGTTAATCAGCCACATCATCACAAA